CCCGGTGTCAGAATACAAAGGCACAGTGAGAGGATTTCCCCATCCACACATTTGAGAATGAAGTAATTTGTTTTTCATTCATTCCGATGGTTGAACCAAAAAAAAATTGGTCATCTATGGGCTACTTTAGTCTTAAAATCATTAAGAGCCCTCTGAAATTTCCTTTGATTATCTTCCCTAGCTACTTTATCTACTCTACTAATCTTATCTTGCGCCAATTTAAACCGGCCATAGACGATTCTAATCTTGGTCGATTCAGCAGGGACCAGCCGAGGTCCGAACCATGTATGGACAGGCTAAATGTACCCAAGTTGATCGATTGCTTGATCAGCTTGGACTTCACATGTGATTATTGCTAGCGACTATTGTAGCCACTAGCAGTAATTACTGTGTTCTCCCGGAAGGGATGGCTTCCCCCACGCCCTCCCCACTGGGAGTACACAACGGCTCCGTGCGAGGGATTCCCTCATCAACACTGTTTGTGTTGATGGGGTAATTGAGTGATTTCCTTCCTGCAACCACTCCATCCACTCCACCTATGGCCGGCTTTAGGGCATTGATGATATTCCTCCATTCCCCGACATGATAGCAGCTTCTCTTTTAAGATTTAACTTTTTGCCTCAAACTGTATTTGCTTCCTTTTTCTCATTCTATGCAGAGCCAGCAATTCTCTCCTACAGAAGTTGAAAAAGAGAAGACGTTTTGTAGCTTATCTAAGTCACTACTTTAGTTCTAATGAGTGCCAGGAAAATACCCCAGCATTTATATCAACACAAGTAACACAGATACTTTAATCCATTCCCTATGGAAAGGCAAAAGTTATTGTCTAAGAACAGGATAGGCGAAATGAAAGCTGTGGAACCACCCTGTTCTACTTACATAATTCCATCCCTGGTGTCAAGAAGGCTTCATAGGTGTTAATCCATCACTTTATATAGCTAAAGGTGTAAATTGCTGTCAAAGTGTATTATCTTCATGGATGTTCACAAATACATTAGCCAACTGAAGATTAAAAAGTATTTCTGATTAAGCTTAGTATCAAACACTAAAGCTAATCCCTTGCCACACCAACTAAATTACATTTCATCAGGTTTGAGGAATTGTTCCCTTTGTAGCACTGCAACTGGTAATAATTTTTTGGAAACGTTTAAAAGGTTTGTATTGGATTATATAACAGATGTCAAATTTGTTAAAATAAGCAATTCCCCATTTATAAAATCAGGAAAAGATACATCATAAAGGAGAAAAGATATATTTATATGTCCAGCAGACAAGGGGGGAGGGGTTGTTAATTTAGACAAAGAAGACTAAGGGAAAATGAACAGTTCATTATCATATAATCCTACAACAGAAAAGTATAAAACAAAGAGATGCCGGTTCTTGTTGATAAACGCCACAAGAAGGGCAAGATATATCCTCTACTAGCAAAATCTCTGCTATCTGCCCTAAGTGCATAAGAGTTTGATATATCCCCCTGGAAGACCCAGGGGGTGAGTAGGTGAATTTTTTTTCTGCAGGTGTTGGTAACACATAATAAATCTTACAACATAGACACTAAACATGTCATACAATTACTAAATTAGTTATAATATAATCAAGATTATACTGTATACTGTGCTCAACAGATGTGGCTTCATTTTATACAATAATTTCTCACACAAAGGGATTACAAGTGGTAATGAGTTTTTTTAGGAAAGGATGTTTATATTCTACAGTTACAGCAGGAATTTGTTTTAGAATGCTTGAGATTCTCTTTACAGCACACTTTTTTATGGTTTAATGAGATGACTGTAACGGGTGGAAAATATACACCAAGTTTAGAAAATCTTTGCATGGCTTTTTGGGAGGACAGTGTCATTTCTGCAGGAACTCCACTGAAGCTGTTTTGGATAATAGATGACATTCTCTTCATCTGGTAAGAAGATGTGATCTCTTTTGCTTCGATTTCTTTATTCTCTGAAAAAAGTAAATAATTATATTAATAAATATTAAAAACAATAAATATGGAATAAACTTTTGCAAGCGTAAGGAGTCCATTAATGTTTGGGATTTATCTATTTTCTTAATTTGTACAAAAATAATTTTTCAAAGGGTCTGACAGAAATGATTTATTTCCCAATTTTAATTTTCGCCATGCATGGTGAATTAATGAAATACCATGCAGGCAACGCAGTAGATTTAGAACAAAATGAAAGACAAGGTCATATGATCATTGTTGCCCAAAAATGTAAGGGTTATATAAAAATGTTGCTGAAATTAATGTTGACTCCTATTGTTGTGGATCCACCAAATAATAACTTCTTCAATGGAAAAGGGTTTTACAGATGTGACAGGTGTCTAGCCTGTAAACATCAAGGAACCCTGTCTAGTTAAAAACTGCTGAAATTTGTTTCCACAGTTAATGGAAGACCATTTAGTATAAATACATTTATTTCATGTAAAACTACTCCTGTCATGTATGTACTAGAATGTCAATGCGGGCTCCAATATATTGGTCATACAACCCAAACTTTTGAGACACACGGGGGAACATTTGTGTGATATTAAAAAGGTTCTTAAGACAAACAATTTGCATTGCATGTTTCGAAATATCATAATAAGGAACCAAGTGGTCTTAAGTTTCATAGTATTGATACCATAGATTAATCCTGGAAGGGACCTAATTTAACTAAGGGGATTTCACAGAATAAAACAAAGGGGACATATGTTCTGGATATGCTTGCCCCAAAAGTTTGAATATAAAATTGGATATAATCTGTTTCATTAGTAACTTTTAAGTGGACTGTTTTTTGTACATTATGTTTATTGTTATATATTTTCAAATGTTATTATTTTGCATCTGTGCAATTTGCTTGATATAAGTTTCAAACTCATATGTTGCATGTATCATATGTTTGTAACATGAGTTTCATACACCCCACATTATAATATTGAGAAATCTATTTTATAAAATATTTATATTATTTTTTAATATATATATATATTGAGATACATCCAGGTATACAAAGTTTGATGATGTCCTTCTTGAATATGTCATCATACATGAGGCATCTATGCCATTAGGAAGCCTGCGGCAAGTGTTGTGAGCCAGGAGAATATTGAATTGCAATTATACATAGTGCTTATGTGAGTTCATATATGGTTTTAATATGCATTTTTTTTTTAAAGAAAACAGAATTATGCTATGAGATTATCTTGTGTATTATACTTGCAAATGCAGTTTTTGCCAGAGCACGTGGAAGCAGATGAGGTTTTAAACCCATGTTGGTGGATATCGTTTGATGGATATTGATAAGCACTCTTGACCTTTTTATATTAAGAGGTTCAACTCTTTGGTGAGTTTGTTTTTCAGGTGGTGGAAGAACCCATAGATTGTTGCACTAAAGAGAAGCTCATTGCCTGCTGCAAATATGTTTTTGTAATACATTGTACCCTATAGTGAATGCATTGTGTGACAATTATCCCTATAAAAAGACTGTGTTATATGTAGAAATGTTTTTGAAAGTTTTGCATTTAACAGGGTGGTGATTTAAGGGAATTATAAATGTATGTGTATGTGCCTATTTATTAGCAAACAGTATTTTGCATTTTGTTTTCTTTTCTTGTTTCTGTTTATGTGCAGAATGGATAGATATATCTGAGCATTGTTTTTATGTGACTGTTTTCTTAATCACAGTCCATCATCAGCACCTCTTCTGGGAGTGGAGACCATTTGTCCACCACTTCATTCTTTTCCTGCACAACAATCATGACATTGTCATAAGGCTGCCGTTTTCAGGATCCTGACCCCAGAGAGCCAATAGAAGATTACACATAATCCAGGCAGTGACAAGGGCACTCAAAAAATAACCCTCCCACTGTATATGAACCCAACAGAGGTTCCAAGAAAAAAAAAACAAAAAAACTTTTTTTTACATTTAAACTTCGTTCAGTAAATAATCCATAATGAAGAACTGTCATTACACTTGTTAAATTGTTCTGCGCCCCCCCCCCATAGAAAAAAAGTACTATGTACTTTCTCCCATGTTGCTTGGTGATTCATAAGTCTAGTTATGAGGTCCGATCCATCTACCTTTCCCCCAACAACAGCTAGGAAGGCCATATATTCATCATAATGGCAGGTTGTCTTGGCTTACAGCACTTTCTCCAGACAAGATGTGGCAAGAGGAATGCAGAGGAACAGGAGACTGATACACTCCCTCTCCCTCTGCATTTCTCTGGTCTAGGGAAAGTGCTCTGAGCTGAGACAAGCTGCTGTTATGATGGATCAATCTCCTTGATAACTGTTGTTGGGGAAGGGGGTGGGTTAGATCTAATAATTATACTTAGGAAATATTGTTCTTCTTTAACCAGTACAGTACTGCCCTCTAGCAGAAATACTGCTACAGGGTGGCACGGGTGCGCAAAATCACATATATATATGTGATCTTGTAGCTCCGGGTGCGCGTGCACCCTACCCGCGCTGCCATTCGTGGCCTCGGCTGTCAATTACCTGGTCCTGACCGGTGATTACTAGCCGGCACCTGGTGATCACCTAGTACCTCCGATGGGGAAGATACCTGTATGTAAACAATACAGCTTTTTACCCTGTCGGCTCCTGCACAGTGCTTTGTATGGCTCTGCTTAGCGTCGCATCTGCATAGCACAGCCATACAAAGCAGTGTGTCAGTGTTTCTTAGTACTTTTTAAAACTTGTTCTAGTAGGCAGTTACTTATATTTCAGCAGCCTGATTCTTCAGTACTTTTGCACATTTCCTTTGTGATGCAATATAATATATGTTTACATTATATAACAACTCTCTTTATTGGATGTTTTTACAATGTATATAACTTGAATCTTTTAGCATTCAAATGAGCCAACTGAAGTTCATGTGATAAATCTGCTGTTATTATGTGATGTTCTAGATTTTGTGGTATATACCATATTTTTCGCTCCATAAGACGCACCTGACCATGCGTCTAGGTTTTAGAGGTGAAAGCAAGAAAAAAAACATTCTGAACCAATGCACTGCAGACACAGTACAGGAGATGACCAGAGACGGTGGACATAGTACAAGGGATGACCAGAGACTGCAGACGTAGTACAGGATATGACCAGAGACTGCGGACACAGTACAGGAGATGACCAGAGACTGCGGACACAGTACAGGAGATGACCAGAGACTGCGGACACAGTACAGGAAATGACCAGAGACTGCGGACACAGTACAGGAGATGACCAGAGACTGCGGACACAGTACAGGAGATGACCAGAGACTGCAGACACAGTACAGGATATGACCAGAGACTGTGGACATAGTACAGGATATGACCAGAGACTGCGGACAGTACAGGGGATGACCAGAGACTGCAGACAGCACAGGGGATGACCAGAGACTGTAGACAGTACAGGAGATGACCAAGAGACTGCAGACAGTACATGGGATGACCAGAGACTGCAGACAGTACAGGGGATGACCAAGAGACTGCAGACAGAACAGGGGATGACCAAGAGACTGCAGACAGTACAGGGGATGACCAGAGACTGCAGGCAGTACAGGGGATGACCAAGAGTCTGTGGACCTTTGGGGAGGGAGGGGGAATGGGTACCTGAATTTGACAGGTACCTGCTCCCACTTCCACTGAGTTCTCCTCCCTTTATTGTGGGCACCCGGCTGACAGCCGTGTGCCCACTGCGCATGCACGAGAAGCACTGCTCTTTGTGAATGGCCCGGCGTCTTCTGGGACCTGTCATGTGTCACAGCCCACACTAAAGATGCCGGGAAGACTGTACAGCGCTGGACTGAGGAACAGGTAAGGTCCTGTTGCAGAGAAGAGCTGAGCGGCCGGCCCAGTATTCTGACATGGTGACGACGGCGGAAATACCGGACCGGCCGCTCCATATTCGCTACATAAGACGCACTGACATTTTCCCCCATTTTTTTTGGGGGAAAAAAGTGCGTCTTATGGAGCGAAAAATACGGTACTTGTAGCCCCAGACAGGATATTGTGCTAAATCTGTAGGTAAACAAGAGAACAGAACCTTTGCGAAGTGAAGGAGTGGGTTTGATGATTAAGTTGGCAGTGCGTTCACCCAGGACATGGCCTCTGTGAGCAGAGGGGATTCCCTTCTTGGGAAATCAACCAGTATATTGTGAAGCGCTGCACAAACTTATGCTATATAAATCCTGTATAATAATAATAATCCAATTAAAGTAATTAGAAAAGAGGAGAAGAGGAACTATTGCAGCCAGCATATAACATTAACCATAAGTATATAGATAAACTCCAGTATGGAAATAAAACAAGCCTATTATAGAAAGTTCAATAATAGTACATACATCCAATATATAAACAGGTTTTATCAGCAAACTGCCCAATAGAAGACCTGTTGGAATTGTGCACATATACCCAGGTGAATACGGTTAATAATAAAAATACCTCCAGATGAATGTTGCAGCAAAGTCCAATTGCAGGGGCTGTACTCATGTTTACCATCATAAAGACTGGGCCCCAACACTAGCCGCCTGAAGAACTAGGGCCAAAGACTGCTCACTCAAATAGCTGCTTCACAAGAACTGTGTCTGTTGTCCATAGTAAGAGGTACCTCTTTTAGGAGTTTTACATTTCATGGCTGCCATTCATATAGAGTGTACTCTTTAGTGGATATAACTTATTGTTTACAAAGGAGTTATCGCAATATTCATATAATTGCTGTTACTGTTTTCTAATGCAATTACATATTGTTGATTTTGTGGATTACAACGTTTACTTTAGCTGCATAGATCTCCATTCTATGCTACTACAGTCATGGCCAAACGTTTTGGGAATCACACAAATATAAATTTTCACAAAGTCTGCTGCTTCATAGTTTTTTGTCAGATGTTACTATGACATACTGAAGTATAATTACAAGCATTTCATAAGTGTCAAAGGCTTTTATTGACAATTACATTAAGTATAGAGTCTATATTTGCGGTTTTGACCGTTCTTTTTCAAGACCTCTGCAATTCACCGTGGCATGCTGTCAGTCAACTTCTGGGCCACATGCTGACTGATGGCAGCCTATTCTTGCATAATCAATACTTGGAGTTTGTAAAAATTTGTGTTTTATTTTTTGTTCACCCGCCTCTTGAGAATTACCAACAGGTTCTCAAAGGGACTAAAGTCTGGGAGTTTCCTGGCTATGGACCTACAATTTTGATGTTTTGTTCCCCAAGCCTCCCTCCTAGATTGTAAGCTCGAAAGAGTAGGGCCCTCTTACCCCTTGTGTGCTGTTTGATGTTACTGTACTGTTTCATGTATTGTCCCCCCTCTATTGTACAGCGCTGAGCAAACCCTTTGGCGCTATATAAACTCGATAAATAAATAAATAATAAGCCACTTAGTTATCACTTTTTGCAAACTGTTCTTGGATAGTTGGGAGAAGTTGCTCTCGGAGAATGTTTTTGTGTCACTCTTTATTCATGGTTGTGTTCGTAGGCAAAATTATGAGTGAGCCCACTCCCTTGGCTGAGAAGCAACCCCACACATGAATGGTCTCTGGATACTTTACTGTTGGCACGACACAGGACTGATGGTAGCACTCACCTTTTCTTCTCCAGACAAGGTTTTTTCCAGATGCTTCAAACAATCAGAAAGGGGACTTATCAGAGGATAGGACTTTACCCCAGTCCTCAGCAGTCCAATCCCTGTGCCTTTTGCAGAATATCAGTCCGTCCATGATGTTTTTCCTGAAGAAGTGGCTTCTTTGTTGCCTTTCTTGACACCAGGCCATCCTCCAAAATTTTTCACCTCACTGTGCGTGCAGATGCACTCACATCTGCCTTCTGCAATTCCTGAGCAAGCTCTGCACTGGTGGTGCCCTGATCCTACAGCTGAATCAACTGTCAGAGACGGTCCTTGCGCTTGCTGGACCTTCTTGGGAACCCTCAAGCCTTCTTCACAATAATTGAACCTCTCTCCTTGAAGTTCTTGATGATCCGATAAATGGTTGAATTAGGTGGAATCTTAGTGCAGCAATATCCCTGCTTGAGAATCCCTTTTTGTGCAAAGCAATGATTACTGCACATGTTTCCTTGCAGGTTACCATGATTAACAGAGGAAGAACAATCATTTCAAGCATCACCCTCCTTTTAAAGCTTCCAGTCTGTTATTCGAACTCAACCAGCATGACAGTGTGATCTCCAGCCTTGTCCTTGTCAATACTGACAGCTGTGTTAACGAGAGAATCACTGACATGATGTCAGCTGGTCCTCTTGTGGCAGGGCTGAAATGCAGTGGAATTTATTTTTTTTGGACTAAGTTAATTTCATGGCAAAGAGGGGACTTTACAATTAATTGGAGTTTATCTGATCACTCTTTATAACATTCTGGAGTATGTGCGAATTGCCATAATAAAAAATAAGGCAGCAGACTTTGTGAAATATAATATTTGTGTAATTCTCAAAACGTTTGGCCAGGCCTGTATAGCCTAGTGAACATATTGTCTAGTGAACTGTGACTGATCTCATCCTTATTACTTATACAGTATATGCGCATACTGCTTTTTACTGCAACCTGTGAAAATATATTGGGTTCATCTTCCACTAACCAGTCTGATGTTTGTTTTTAGATACTGAACCCTAATTGTGTGCAAGGTATCTATACTTGTGCTCCCAGTAGCAATGCAGTATCCATTTGCTTAACCTGGTGTTTTAGCTGTACTTACTTTTAGCTAAGCCAGACAATTTATCTGGAACATTAGTGTGTCAGATGTCATCTGAAGTCTGACAGATACTGCTCTGTCTTTAAACTGCTGAGATTACGCAAGGAGTGTTCAGAAACAAAGCCATGTGGTAGTTCACATTTCTCTTAACTACCAGGTTCTATTATTTAACATTGTTATGCAGTCTCATGTGTGAGATAAGACAGTTGGTACGGTTGTGGACTTCAAGGTAGCCCTGACCCCCTGGCACTCTAGATACGATATCAGGCTAATGCAAAGTAAGTAAATCTAAACATGGGAATGCAAATAATTTATAGGCAAGCCTGCATAGTTATACTATTTTAAAATGGATATTCAGATGTCTGCATAGGTCCAAGTGTTACTGGTTCTGAGCTGCCCTCGAGGCCAATGGCCGATTTAAAGTGTTACTAAACCCGGACCCTACATTCACTATATCTGGTCTCCCACAGTACACAGAACATGGAAATGCAATTATTTTAGTAAATATAAACTGCTAAATACCTCTTCTCATCAGCACTATATAGCAGTCTTGTGACTTCTATCAGTGTCCAGCTGAGCACTGGTTAATCTTGTAGGAGGAATTTTCATTCTGCTCTGACTGTCCTATGAGGCTGCATGACCCCTGACCTTCTGTCTAGATAGTGCTGATTGGCCCTGTGCTGATCACATGCACCCTCACAGTGAAAAAAAAACTCTCTGGCAATACAAACTAAATTGAGCATGTGCAGAGTGACTCCTAGAGCTCTGTACTATCAGTAGATGGATTGGGGACAGTAGGAGAAGGGGAGGATCAGAGAAGACAGGATCAAACAGCCCTTTTTACACAATGCGGAGCATTAACCTCTTAGGTCCACAGTGAGTATAACTAGCATGCTTTACTGCATACACAGACTAATTTTACTGTTGTGAGTTTAGTAACACTTTAACTTAGTTTTCCATTATCCTCCTACACAATCCAAAATCATATTACAATTGTGTTAATTTGCAAGGGAATTCCTTCCCCCTTAATATGGTGTGTTACAACTTATATTCATACATGCCACTTCCCCTTTTTCACAATGCCTACATCCCCTTACCATGAACACATTTCTAAAAGAAAATTGAGGGGACTTTTTTGTACCACCGACACATTAGACTATATTTTTATTTTAAAAAGGGAAAAACTTTGCTGCTTCTATTTTGTCCATCAAATTTTAGAACAGCATGTTTAAAAAATGTTTGCTTTGCACAGAAACCCATCTACATTCTGGTATTAAGCCATTATTTCTCATTTTTTTTTTACTGAAATACATTTCAGCATCACATAAATATCAACCATTATGAAATATCTTAACAGTAATGATGAATGTTCTCTTTCTAGTCTCTCAGGGCATATACTGGACATTTTGACATGTTTCACAGAATTAAGTCTCCTTCCTCAAGGAAAGTGATTCATAGGGCTATATCACATATTAACAATATGCAGACTTACCACATACAAGCTACAGAAAATATGGTCTTGGCTTTCTGGCTGGTGACTCAAAACAGCAAAAATACAAATACCTGTCCAGTTGTTTCTTTACTAACTGCTGGCATTTTAAGTCCTGATGAAAAAGTATTTGTGAGCCCTAAAACATGCTGGATTTACTTTGTTGTCATGTACAGTAACAACCTACTGGAATATTAGTTTTCAGAGTGATCTGGGGAACCTCGAGGACACCCAATTTTCTAGAAAGCTGCCTTCTGAGTTCTAATCTCAAGCCCTATTCTTTTTCAAGCCTCTGGTCCAGCTCTCCACTAACAAGTTTTCTCCAACCTGGGATATGAATATAAAAAAAAATATAATAACCTGAGATAGCCCAATCCTTCTTAAAAGGTACAGCAACAAGAAGCCAAGACTCTGGGAAACTGAAGAAGTGTTTAGCTGTTCCCCCAACCAGCTTTACAACAGCCAAAGCTTAGTATTGGCATTGATGTGCTTGTGGCCAGCACACATTTATTGATATGATCACTCAATTGATCCCTCATTGCAACTAAACTGGTTAAATTGGATAAAACTAAAGGTCATCTATTTAGTGAGTTTTTGAC